ATCAGACTCACAGCCACAGGCCCATATTTTTAAAAGTTTTGGGCGCTAAGCCCATTTAGTGGCCTTTCAGATCTCAGCAATATATATATACCTTGGGTCAATTTCATACCAACCCATTTACACTAGAGGTCTCCAATTTATGTATGCCTTGGTATTCAAATGGTATTTATGGTACGAATTTTATCTTAAAATTTTATTTTGATTGAATATTTGCCAACCCCCCCCCCCCAAAAGTAAATTTTGAGATGATTAAATATTTGTTCCCCAAATTTTGAGAATACTAGTAAACATTACTGTCATACATTCTATCTTTGGCTCCGTTTGATAACACTGAATCTGAATTTTGAATACTGAAATAATTAATTTGCTGAATTTTAAACACTGAAAAGAGATATATGAATGTCTGAATCTTAATGTTGAATCTATTTATACTGTTTGATAAATATTCATAACTTAATGCTTAATAAGCTAAATTGTACAATTTTGCCCTTATATCTTTTAATCCAAAAAGGAAATAGAACCTATGATTTAATTAGCTTGAAATTGTTAGGTATAAAAAAGACAATATTTATTTTTAAATCAAATTAATATAAAAGAAGAAATATATTATGCAAAACATTAAAAGAAACATTACAATCCAATAATTCATATAACATATAAATTCGACCTAAAAAATTTAGAAATGATTGTTTGAATAGAGAATATCAGATTGTTTTGTTTAATTAGATAAGGATTTTGAATAGAGAATATTAGGTTGTTTAATTAGATAAGGATTTTGAATGTAATTAACAAACAGGGATAGATTTGGTAGATAAGATAAAGTAGTTGAAGTAAATCTCTTGATTCTTATCGAATTAAGCATTCAGTTATGATTCTTGTGCTGAAAAAACTACATACAAATTCAGCACCACTTAATAAGTTCAGCAGGTGAATTTTTATTTATCAAACACCCAAAACCTCTTAATGTCTGAATGGATTCAGTTTCAGCACTTTTTTATGTTATCAAACAGGCACTTTGTCTCCACAAATTTCAGAAATCCTAATTTTAGATATTTAAGCCTTTGTAACTCAATAAACTAATCTAATATTGTTCCCCTTGGAGAAGGGGCCAGTACAACCAAAATTTTCGTACAATTATGTGGTTATTGTTCATTTTATATGTTTTTGCGTATGTTTACATTTCTGTGTTGTACACGTAATTTTTGTTCTTATACGCTAAATCAATAATTTAATACAACCACGATTGTAAACGTATAGCACATTCTAAAAAAAGTGCAATACCTGTATCAATTGTACAAAATTTCAATTTGCAATAACTTTCCCCTAGTCCCACATCGATTCTAAGGGGTTCGGGGGTTGCGTAGTTAAGTCTCCAAGTTTGCCTCAAATTTAGATGTAAGGTTTGAACTCTTGACCTTCCGCCTCACAAGATATGCGATAGCCAACTACTGCGGGGGTAGTTGGTTAATTCGCTGAACATATTGGACATGAAGATTCCGACAAATGTCAAATAATATGTTTTAGCCAGCAAAAGCGAATGTCAATCAAATACAGAGGAATCGCATCTGTGTTATCTTTCAAGCCTTGCTGGATATGGTTTTGAGATGCCTTAAGTTTGCCCTTTGTTTATTAATCTAATAGTTGATTGCCCAGTCGTGGTTCTTAGGGGCCAACTTCTGTTTAACCTTTAGCGCTGTTTCTGTGGTGGGTTTGGAAACTTTCAATTTCTCAAGGTAGGTGTCTGAGTGATCTCCGTACTCCATTATTTGCAAAAGTCAAAATTCTCTTTGGTCTTTGTTTAATGAAAAGCCTTTAAGCGCATCTATATCTATCCATTGAATTATTTGATTCTTTACTATAGTAACGTATTACTTTCAGTCACTATATTGCCAGTTCGCATTAGAGTCATAATGCCTAAAGAGTTACAAATTGAGAATATAAGTTGTATTTGCTTCATGAATAAGTCGAACTCGGATGTGTATTAATCTTAATACCATCTGTTTGTGACAGTCCCTCCATCTTCTTTAGTGCAAATAGATGGCTGAAAAATTAGTTTTCACGTGGAGAATACCATTTGAGCCATAGTGGATTTAAAGTTTAAAAGCCAGTTGATCATAGGCAAATAATTTAGCCTATACCTTTATCCTTTTTGCCAGCTCTTTTTGGAAGCAGTGGGATTTGACGATGCCGATAAAGATAACAAGGCAAGATATGGAGACCCTACCATCATACCCTGTCGATCGGTTCACGTTTTCTCCATTCTTGAACTCGCAGGTCAACTTTAGTAACGAAAAAGTCTGAGTTTCTCAGTCATCGGAAAAAGACAGAAACCTCGGGGAGGTGATCTCTCCATTTCAGTGGGTGTCTGGGGGGTCTTTACTTCTTAGCAGCGGGGCACCCCTGTGGGGTTTCTATCCCACATCGGTTCGGGGGGGTTTGGGGTTTGGATTTATTAAGGTCTGCGGGAGCCTTCAAAAGTTGCCGGCTTTTGAAGGTTTCTCGCAGGTCAACTTTAGTAACGAAAAAGTCTGAGTTTCTCAGTCATCGGAAAAAGAATTAGAGATGTCCTCTTTACTAAGGTCTATATAAAGGGCTGCTTGTCGAATCCTGGTCCATGGAGCAAGGTGTAGAGTCTCATAGACCAAAAAGGATACACAAGAATCTTCATTCTTCAAGGCATTGGTTGTTCACTCTCCCTCAAGGGCTTCCCCGACCTGGGCCACGCACGAATGGCCCCAATAATTTAACAGGGGTTAACGTGCCTCAAGGCTAGAGAAGCTCTTGGGGGAGTATTGAACAGGTCATGTCTTGCGTGCTTGTGCCAAAAAATGATGATCATGCCGACAACCATCGTTTCAGAAGTTTGAGAATCGTTTCGCATTACCAATGGCTTTCATTGCTCACTCTCCCTCAAGGGCTTCCGATCGACTTGACTCTTCAAGAGCGCCCGAGCTGAGGCGCTTGGGGAGAGTGGATAATGCTAGCCAATGTTACCGCATATAGTTTAGTTATCAGTTATCACTGCAGCTGGAAGCCTAGAATCAAGTGGCTCCTGAGCAACTATTCCTCCGACCCTGCCAAAATTAAGTTCTCTGATCAGGTTGGAAATATTTGTGCTAGTTTTTTCTTCCTGCTACCCATTTGGATACGATAAATACATGGTAAGAAACAATCTCCAAGGGTTAACACATGCATTACCTATCCATGATTGATGTTAAGTTGTTAGCCCTAATTCAATAATTGGTAAGATATTCTTGGAGGGAGAGTCCGTATTAATTTGAATGCTTGAGAAATTTTATTCTGGTCTGGAGCAGCTACATTCCTTGGTATCATCTCAAAACATTACGCATACTCGCGTTAGAGAACAAGGATTCGACAGGCTACCATACCGAAGGCTCACGATCGGTGATAGGCGTACTAATTGTGTAAAAGTGTGACAATTATCAAATTACTCCATCAACACAAAAAGTTGGACTTAAAATTCCAACATACTTGTAATAGTAGTACTAGTAAAATAGCGAGTGGAGAGGGGTTGTGGAGGTGGTACCACAGAACTTTGACAAAACAGTGCCGTTGGGGATGCATGTGATGAGTAAGTAGTGGCTTGACCCCCCACCCACCACCAGGCACCAGGGCCATCACCATGCATGTCAGCTTTTTTGGTTCTCTTTCAAACATCTTTGTTGAAAATGGAAACGCATAATATAGCAAGAAGTAGAAACTCTGTCGTCCTCTTCTGCAACTCGTAGGATCCGTAAGGACAAGATAGTGAAAAAGTGGGGATGGAAGGACGGGGCCTATGCATGAATGTATCACATCTAACTTAATCAGAAGGAATCTATCTATCTGCATTTCTTCGTTTATCGAACCTCATTGTTTCTGTCCGCATGTTTTGTGTGGAAGAAGAAAGCGAGAAATTGGCAGCTGGACTTGTGTATCAGGATTCTCAGGGGAACCCTGATTGAACTTCAAATCATACTTCTCCCAGTACACTAGCTAGGAACTGTCAACCTCTTTGTAGCATTTTTAATTTTAAGCTGTCAGAAGACTCAAAACCACTCTGATCTTGGTGCTGCTGCTTCACATTTCACACATATACACCTACACTCGCTCTGTGTGATCGTGTTCCATTTCATCAGTATCCCTTCTTTAGGTTTGATTTGCCTTGCTCGGTTTAAAATAACATTGAACACACACACGCACACGCACACATTTATTTATTTATACTGTTTCAATTAGCATATTAACTATGAATAGGGAACGGTGTTGAAAGCATAATTATGTTTCTCTATGGATAATGAATTTAATCCAGCTGACGGAGTCATTGACTTATTCTTTCGAGTTATTGCTTGATTCGTGATTGGCTGATGAGAAATATTTAAAACAAACACACACATGCATCCACACAAGACTTCGAAAGTGAAACTGGAAATATTAGGCATTGGCTCAATGCGATGGATCTTGGACTCTTGGTATGTGTTACTAGTAACATAAGAATCATATTTCTGTAGACTGTTACCTAAGGGAGTATATCTGATGAGCAATGACTGCTATTTTTTAACATTTTTTGTGGGGTAGTAGAGAATGATGTTATTGTCTATTTTTGCCTTGTGAGTGTGGTAGAAAATAGCAAATCCTTTCCTTGTGTTTAGGCACAATAAAGATAACTTGATCAATCCTAAACCAAGTCACACACACTTTCTTTAAGTAATTACTGCATCAAATGGTAACCATTCAACTACTCGACTCATTAACACAACAATATTCCTAACACAGGTTACTCTTGACTTTATGACCAATGCTAGTCGTAATAATAAATAAATAAAGTTGCAGTTTTATTGAGTCTCTTTCTTATTTTCATTCTAATTTCTGTGGAACAGATCCGGCTTCATAGAAATAGGTGCTTCCCAATGAAAGTGTAAGCTGACAAGAAAGCAAAATGTATGGTTCATGTAATTAGGACCTTAAAAAATGCAGGAATGTATGTGCAATCTTTTGGCTAGAAGAACTGTTAGATATGAGCTCCAGATCCCAGATTGTAGACGATAACTATCATGTTATGATTTCTAATAATTACACCAAGAGCACCCAAAAAAAAAAAAAAATTAAAGGAACAGACTTCACCGTAGGAGAAGGCCGAAGGACAGGCAGTAAAATTATCTCCAAAGAGAAATATCCTAGTCCTTAGTGCCTGCTCATCACTTACAATGCTCAACACTTCCACCCAATCTTGCATCATAAAACCCTAGTATCTTATACTACGCCTTCTCGTACTTGTTTTCCCATAACTTCTACCTGCAATGATGAAAGAGCACTAAAGTGTGCTACCTACGAAGAGCAGCATGAAATAGTAGTGTTTTCCACATGTTTAGCATCAAGCAAGCTCTTGATTTTTCTCCACAAGCCTGACATCTTTAGCAGATCTAAGCACATTTGCTTGATCATCAGTGATTTCTACCGCGAACCCGTCAACGATGACCAATGACAGAGTCTTCTTGTAGCTGCCAGGTTCGAGGGTATTCGCCAACAAATCATCGTGCTTCTTGCTTAAGTACAAATGAAGTTCATGCGCTCCCCTCTTCGTTCTACGGAAAAGAATGTTGATGCATATGATCCACATGTTTAGGAAATCACATATTAATGACGAAACCGTTGTTAATACACTTATTTTTGTTGAAATGGTTTCTTCATAATGGAGAAAAATAAACAGCAAGTTAGGTGAAAAACAAAAGACAAACCTGCTGGATCGAAGGCGCTCATATTCAGGATCATAATTCATGAAAACGAAGTGCAACTCGTTGTTTGTGCTTTCCATCACTGCTTCTGGCTAAGTAGTTAGCACATGTGCAGAGGATACAAATGCCACTGCCTGGCTATTTATACAGGAATGTGATGCCAGGTGCCAACTGTTCACGACTAGGGTAAAGAAAAATTACCCTCTTAGACATTTAAAAGCCGACCTAGAAAGCAAAATTAAAATGAAAAAGAAAACTTTTGCCAAGACAATCATGGAATCTTGATTGCATAAGCATTTCTAACCCAAAGAAATTATTAGTTACTCTAGCCACCTTTAAAAAAAAAAAATGGTACTAAGAACTGCAATCATGTATATGGAGATTATACTGATCAGGATTGATTGCATAATGCATCAAAAGTTTTATTTTTCTATGTTGTTATACTCGAATAGATTCCTATTCATGCCAGCCACACAACTCGAGCAAAATATGCCACCGCCAGAATGCTATATATTGACTATATATGTTCATCATGCAAGACTTCAACAGCTGATTCTTCGGTTAATTAAAGACTTTAGTCCTATGGCATTTGGGCTGATTGGAAAGATGCAGATCTTGTTCATTTTCCCTACAAGATGCATCACAAAGAAGAAGACATTCAAGTAGCAACATTTTTTTTTTGGTGGGGGGCCAAGTCATTCAAGTGACAACTTTGACAACATTATATATATTCCAGTGGGACACTTTTGCGATAATATAATTAATCAAATGCTTTAACGTCTTTTTTTGTCCCTTCTTAGGGTAGGGTTTAATTAGACGATACTGGAGACAATGCTTTAGTTAACAATATCTTAAACTGGAGCTTTGTTGCCTAGGGTTTTGCTTTAGTTCGAGTTAATTGTGATTATGGTAGAAAAGTCAACTACTAACATTCGAGGAAAGCGCGAGGCTCTTTTGGTACCTGTATCTGCAGATAAGATGTATGTATATATACTACGCAAAGTAATTACAACCCTGTTCTTTAAACAAACATGGTGGACCTGTTCAAACTTGGCTGCCTCAGTGATTAATCCAATGGATCGCTGAGGCGGTATTCATCCGTCTCCGTGAACAGGCTGCAAAGGACAAAATGCAATGAGCGGTTCTTAGAGAAATCCTGCAGAAGATGTACAGGCCCATCTGGTCTGGTTAATCAAAACCTCGACTTTAAGAAAGACAATGACAAATATCTCTTCAGAAGATAAAAATACTGTTAAATCACAGCTTCCGAATGATCTGAGCATTAACATGATGTAGCCAAAACTTAGCGGCCTTTAAATTCAATCAACGTATATGCTCCCAGATTGAATTTGGTAGCAAAAACTCAGAGATCGCGTAATGATCTGCTTTTGAAAGCATGGACAGGCTTTTGAATGAGGTTATGGATGCAGGCAACAAATGAAAAGAGCTTCAAAGTTTCTTCAAATGTACTTTTCTTACAATCAGATTAGTATGTTAAGCGAGTTTGAGCTTGAAATTTATATAGTTTTATGAACACAGGATTCTTGTTTCCCGAGGATTTATAAGTAGAGAAATTCTACTTAACCTTCAAATGCAGGTGAGATTTGGGGCCAAACTAAAAGAGATATATACCAAATTAAATCTTATAAACACGCACGCACGCACACACACAGACACGCACTGAACTAAAGAGGTAGCCTTACATTTATAGCAGCATTTATAGGAAAATAAAAAGAAATCAGGCAAATTGTGTAATTTCATCTAAATGGACTTCTTTTTTTTTTTTTTTAGGGTATCTAGATCGACTTTACTTTCATTGTTATTCATTAGTATAAATTTTTGTTAAAGTCCCATTGCTATTGCTAATGTACCAATCAAAGAGACACGAGAAATTAAAAACTACAAGCTGAAAATTGCTCAGATTCTTGATTGCGGGATCTAGAGGTCAGAAACGAAGGCAGTTAGCGGAGGGAGGGGGGGGGCCGGCCGGGAGGGGTTGGCCGACTGGCCGTACTGTCTGAGCGGTGATAACAAGGTCATTAAAGCACACGTGTATCCACTGACAGCTTCCTCAGTCACATGGTGCCGTGGTCCTCCCATGTGTCGATTGACGATTGATTAATTTCTCTCCTTTTCTTTTTCCCACAAAATGAAAAATGTTCAGTCAGCCAAGTCCATCATCAGAGTTCTGACCCACACGTAGGTGAGGTACTCAACATTCACCAATGGACACATATGCTGCATCTGTTAAAAATTGACCTTTTTTTTTTTTTTTTTGGTCAGCAATGACGTGGAGTATACAGACCCAACTAAATCAAGAAAGTGCTATAGCATAATTCTTAGATTTTTTTCGTTGCAGGTGAGGACTTAAACCCCTCCCTGGTGGCCACTAAGCCATTGGCCTAGTGGTTTGTTAAAAATTGACCACGTCGTGCACTTTTCATGTTTTCCTTGAGCTTGGTGGCTCAGTGGCTGCCAAGTGGGACTTAAGTCCTTTCTTGAGCTGTAGGTAAGAGTTCAATTTTCACCTGCAGTGAAAAAAATTCAATGGTGGTACAAGAGCACCTCTTTGATTTAGTAAGGTTTGTATATATATCTGGTAGTCCCCAATATAAGCCTCTTTAGGCTCTTCCTCTCCTCTAATGTAGGATAGAATAAATTATACAATAGTTATGGTCTCGATAAAAAAAACATTTAGGAAACGATAGGACAAACGAGATTAACCCAAAAATATGATTCATCGAAGTCTTCACTTGATATAATCATTGAATTTGGTCCGATGGTTAAGAAGAGCCTTTTAGAGCTCTCATCTATACTTGTCTAATTTAGCGATTCATCCTCCATACAGGTTCAATTTAACTTCCTCTCTGCATAGGATAGTGTAAATTATTTTTGTTAGACAAAAAAATTGTCTTATCTAGTCTGGCGACTCACCCATTATATAGGTCCAATTGAGTTTGCTCTCCCTATAAGATAAGAATAACGTAGGAACTGATATAAGGATAAGAAAAAGGATAAGGTAAGAACTCATATAATATATAAATAGAAGCAGTCTAGTGACTAAAACAGAAACTTCCGGATCTAAAGGTTCATTGACTCCTGCACCCATTCTTTCTTTTAGTGTAGAATATGAATTATCGTATTGATATAAGAGAGAGAGGCAAAAGTCAGACGTCTATGGCCTAGGACCAGGAATTCTGTTTAATTAGGCCCAATGGGCATAAGAGTGTTAAACAGCAAGCCCTATACAGTCGCTTCCTCCTATTCTTTCCTTATGGCTATTGTAATAAACAAAGAAGATGAAAGAGTGGATTGGCTTATTTTTCCTAGGTTAATATCCCTGCAAGCTGCAAGAGTCGGGAGTAATATAAAAGCCTTCGGGCCATTCAGCAGGACTTCGGCTATTCCATTTGGGCTTTGGCCCACACTGAAGCGCAATATTCACCATTGCATCCCAGCGAAAAAGTACTAAAAACTTGGAAACATCTTCCACATTTCCTTTCCTTCCTTCCCTTCATTTCCTTTCGCTTCGCTGCGCTAGACATGAAGTCATCAACCTTCTTCTTTTGCGCAAAAAAGAAAGAAAAAAAATACAGCGGGTGCAACTGGATACAGTTTTTTTTTTATAAATAAATAATATTTATTTATATTATAAATGCATTTTTTAATTATCCTTTTTATATTTTTTATTACTTTGTTTTATCTCACATACAATTTACCACAAAAAAAGTTACAATAATTAATTTAGATAATATTTTAAATACACTCACCAACTTCCTAGTTAAAGACCCATTTATATTCAACTATTGCTCAGCTGGTCCATCCTACACAGTCTCGCGTTTTGTCTTCCCCCGTAACTGGCAATTAAAGATGACAATTGAAACGAGGTTAATGAGCGTGGATTGGAGCGAAATAGCACGGGACGGGTGGGGGGGGGGGAGAAATTTTTCCCCCACGCCCCCTGCACCTACTAATATATATATATATATAAATATAATATTTAATTTAATTAATTACAACCTTAGAATAAGGGGCGGGGCAAGTAGTAGGCAATGGGGCCCTAAACCCGTCATGTTGCCATTCCTACGTGCCACCCACCAATCAAAGCTTACAAGTTACACACCAGCAGTCTGCGTCCAAAACCTACATCAGTCCAAGCCTTCACCATTAGATACTTTTGCTTGTGCCGTACGTAGCCAGGTGTTTTTCTTCATAAAGTATTATGCAGGTAAAATTATGGATCTGATTATTTGACTTGTGTACGTATTGGTCTTTCTCAGACAATTGGCTGAGTGAAAGGGGGAGCCAATCGAAATGTTTGTTTTGTTGTATTCAAAGTCAATAATCTCAACTAAGATAACCAGACACTTGTGCAATCTAAGGAGGCATGTAATTGATAAAATTGTTGAAGTAGTGGACAAAAAGTCAAAAAATTGTATGAGCGATTTTTCAAAAAAAAAAAAAAAAAGAAAAAAAAGAATTGAGCTCACATCGTAATGGAAAACCAGACACATAGCCGAAGTCAACTATCACGATTATAACACGTGTACGGTAAACCCCGTTGCCCGTTGCCCAGTTTCCACTCTCCAAACTCCAAAATCACTCCAAACCGTCAAACATCCACTAATTGCCCAAACTGCCCAGTATCCCCCCTAGCCCCTAAGCATCCTATATCTACCTTTCATGCTCGATTTTCCGACGAGCCTTACCGTTCAAACTATGGCCCGATACTCCGCCACCGTCGCCTTTACTTTCACACTTGTTCTCCTCTTTCTAGTCACAGTTTCCCATGCCCGAGTACCATCAGATATCCCAGAGGGTGATGTCATCGACCTTGCACTTACACGCTCCCACGCTGGCTCGGACGCCAGCTCCGTCCTTCATCTCCCCAGCGACAGAGTCAACGATGATGTATCTCGCTCTAATCAGCCCGCCGTTGACATCCCTGAATCTGTATCCATCTCCGTCGGATCTATTCCGTTAAGGGTCTCTACTTTCCGTCCGATCAACCGTCACTTCCCCATCAGTTCAAGTTTTCGGTTCCGCAACTGCCGACATCACCACCAGCACCACCATGACCGCCCCTTTTTCAAGCCCATCGGACAACAACAACAACAGCACGTGAAAGTCCCATATGGAAATGATATGATATTGTCCACTGGCGAAAGTAACGAGTTGGATCCGTTTATATTCCATCACGGCCGCATGCGGCGGATCCCGGCAAAATTGGTCAAGTTCCATCACCACCACCATGATGACC